GATACGTGTTAGGTTTTGGGGGGAGCGGTGGCGCTGGGAGTCGAACTCACGACCTCGTGTTTGTTAGTTTTAAATTCTGACAGTTCTCTTAATTTGTGGAATCTCTTCTCCCCTACCATAATCTGAGCCGCTGTTTCCCACCACTGATAGCAGTGACATCCAGCCTCCAGGGAACAAAGCTTGTGCGATGCCACCACAGCCACAAAATCTGGCGACTCCTAAACCACGACCCCTGGAGCGGCACCGCAAAGGCGTGAGGCAGGAGGAAGCGCAGAAGGCCCGAGCACGTGCGTGTGCGTGCGTGTGCATGTGCGTGTGTGTGCATGTGCGTGTGTGTGGCGTACTCAAGCACAAACGAACGCCCATTCCATTCCAGATGGCTCCAACGATGCTCAGCATCTGAAACGAGCAGCTCTGAGAGAGCTTGTTTTCCGTGGAGCAACAGCTGGGGGTTGGGGGAGCCCCTCAGAGAAGCAAAAATAAGAATGTGAGATTTTTTTAAAACTGAAATTTCCAAGCATATGTAACACTTCACGCTTATTTTCAGAAAAAAAAAAAAAAAAGAACAAAATCACTTTTTAAAAAGAAAAGTCTAGTAGCAGAGCACGAAGCCAAGCAGTTCAGTCCAAGTCTAAGCACACAGAGCTGAGCGCCTGCTCAGGCTTAGCAGGAGCGGAGCGGACCCCACCGTCACCCGAGGCCCCACTAAAGCCTGGCTCTCCGGCGGTGTGCTCCACAACACGCCACCTTAGTTCAGCGTTTTTTGTGACTCAGTTTCCTGACCTGTAAGATGGGCTCATAGGACTGAGCGAAGCACCAAGTGCTGACCCTCAGGGCTGGGGATTTAGCTCAGTGGCTCAAGGGCCTGCCTGACAAGCACAAGGTCATGAGTTTGATCCCTGGTACCAAAAAAAAAGAAAACCAAAAAAGCAAGTGCTGACCCTCATTCTTCGGGGACACTGCTTGTTAGCCCTGCCGGCCTCTCCTCAGACCCCCGGCTCAGCCATGGTCCCCAACCCGTGTGTGTGTGGGGGGTGCTGGCCTGGGAGGGTGCAGAGTGAGGGGGTGCGGGCGGGAGTGGCCGTCGCGGGGGTCGCGTCCGCCTGTCCCCGCAGCCCCCCATTCCTGCCCCCCCCCGGCCCCCACCCCCACCCCACCCCGCTCGGGCGGACGCGGCGGGAGCTCAGCTGCCGCCTCCTCCCGGCCTCTCTGCAGTGGATGCTGCTATTTTCGGCCCCGCATTATTTCCTGCTGTGATTTTTCGGGTTCTAATTCGGGCTCTGAGGTAAGCCGTGACATCCGCAGCGCCGCCGCCGGAGGCAGGGCCAGGCGCTGGGGCGCGGGGTGGGGGTGGGGTGGGTGGGGTGGGGACCTCCCGCCCCCTGGGGGCGCCTCGGGGGCGGCGGGGCGCGGACAAGCCCGGAGTCGCGGCCTCAGCGGTGCCCTGCGTCCCGCGCCGAGACGCGGCTGCAGATGCGCCCGTGTCCGCAGTTCCCGAGGTCTTTGCACAAGGCCCTTTGGGGAAACTGAGGAAGCCGGGCCCAGGGTCCTCGGAGAGGGCCGCGGGAGGCCACGTGCACACAGAGCCGCGCAGGGCTGCTCCTGACCTCGGTGCTGAGCACGCTCTGAAGCCGGCCACCGTGCCCCAGGGGTGCCAGCGCAGGGTCCCCGCCCGCAGCGGCCTGGGTCCGGCCAGCAGCACGGTGCCAATCAGACCCCTTCCTCCGCGCCCGCCCTCCCCGCGGGCCTCATTATATTTATGTCGTGTTTTAAAAATGTCTGTGTAACAGTAAGCGTTTCACCCCAAATGGGCCCCGGGAGGCTCAGCCTGCGAACCACTTCCTTCACTCCCGGGTCCTGAGGCCTCCGGGAGGGAGTGGACACTGGCTTTGGATCCCGGGAGACGTGGGTTCAAATTGACTTTCCTGCTTTGATCTCCGTGAACTTCTGCTTCATTTGACTACAGGACATTGAGCACCTTTCAGACACCCTCTGGGAGGGTGAGGGCCTGGTTTGCATCTTCCAAATGACACCCTCTTGTCCATTGCCACCCCGAGTAGGCAGCATCCGGGAAGATTCCATTGTTGGGTCTTGGTGGTGCTGGGGATGCAACAGGGGGCCCCACCCTCGCGAGGCAAACCAGTGAGCTACACCTGCAGTCCTTTTTAGTTTTGAGACAATTCTGTAAATTGCCCAAACTCAAATCCTGCTTCAACTTCCTATAGGTAGGATTATAGATCTATGCGGCTGTTTTTTTATTATTTTATTTTATCTTGTTTCACTGAGTCAAGATCTTGCTACATAATCCTGGCTGGCCTTGAACTCACTGTATAGCCCAGGCTGACCTCAAACTCTTGGCAACCCTCCTGCCTCAGCTTCCCGTGTGCTAAGATTACAGGTATTAGGTCACCAGGCCTGGCATTTGTCTTGTTTTAAACTAAAGGTAGTGTTATAATCTGAACGTTGGTGTCTGCCTCTAAATCTGTACGTTGAAACCTCACCCTCCAATGAGATAGTCCTAGAGGTGGGAATTTTGGTAGGTGATCAGATCACAAAGAATCCTACCCCGACATGAGTAGGATTACGTGCCTGTGTACAGAAGCCTGGGGGACCCTGTGCGCCTCTTCTTCCTCCATGTGAAGCCATCCAGAAGGCCTCATCTGTGCAGAAGCCTCTTGCCAGACACCAGATCTACAAGTACCTTGGAGGTCTTGAACTTTCCAGTCTCCGAAACTCTGAGAAATAAGTCTCTGTTGTTTATAAATGACCCAGGCTAAGGGATTTTGCTTCTGTGGTACAAATGGATTTAAACAGGTAAATAAACTGAATCCAAAATAAGATGAACTATTCTCTAGAATGAGGAGGAGTCGGGAGCCCTCCCCCAGGCAAATGCATATAGGGCATATAAGAGTCAGCTTTCTTCTACCAGGTTAAAAAGGGGTCTGTTCACCCCTGCTTGTCCCCTCCCTCCTGCAAGCATGCCTCTCCCCTCCTTATCAGATCTTCCATTTTCTTTGGGGTGCCCCTCAGCGGTCCAGTTCTTTCTCCCCACCTTGAGGGGTTTCCCACAGCGACACCCCAGTTTGGTTCCCTTCTTGGCTCTCTGCTTCTCCGTCCATGATTCAGTCTTCCTCTTTGGTTCTCTTTAAGGGTGGCCCTTTCGCAGCGCTCATCATGTTTCCCCGGGCCCCCCACCCCCTAATCCTTCTTGGCCTTCTTTGGCAGAGGGGTCGCATCCATTCTGGTGGGCTCGGCTGTCTCCTTTAGATTGACACCTCCAGTCTCTGATCCCAGTCCCAGTTTTAACGCCCGTTGGATGACTGAACGTAAGCCCAGCTATCACCTCCGATGCTGTATACCTGGAAGGAGTCTCTGGCTTCCCCAAACCCAGCTTCCCTGTCCTGTTTGGGCCACAACCTTCTCCGGTCATCAAGCCCAGAGGTCCCATCTCTGTTCTCTTTGCCTGTCCTGCACGTGCTCGCAGGCAGCAGACCCGTGGCACGCCTCCTCTGGGCTGTCTCTAGTGCCCATCTCCTCCCCGCTTTCCTGCCTCTTCATCTGACCGCCAGCTCTGGTGGGCACGCTGACTCTGGCTCACTCTTCTGCCCACGTCTCTCCTTCCTTTAACGTCTCCCATTTTTCACCTGCTGGGAAGCCCCGAGAGCTGTCCTCCAGCACTTCCTCGAGCTTGCTCAGGGCCAGCTGGACCCGGGACCTCTGCAGAGTATCGCAACATGGTGTTTAACACAGGTGCTCCTGATAGCACCCCTGTTTTTCAATCTGGCTCACGTTAGCCCCCTCCCCTGAATTAACCAGAGAGCCTAAATTCTAATGCCAAGCAAGGTCATGAAATGAGTAGGGCAGGGAGACCCATGGTGGCAGGGAGTGGCAGGAAGTGGCATCTTGATCCAGTCGAGAGTGGCTGCTGTCTTTACGCACCCACTCCTTACACTGCCATCAGGTCCAGTGTGGACAGGTTTTTTCCAGAGTTTAAAAAGAAACACTGATTTTTAAATTTTTACATGAAACTTTATAACTTTTTATTTATTTCTTTTTCTATATTTATTTATTTATTGTGGTACCAGGGACTGAACTCATCACCTCGTACTTGCCAGGTAGGCATTTATGCCGCTGAGCTAAATCCCCAGCCCTGCCTAACTTTTTAAAAAACTCTGTAAGCCCAACAAAAATTTAGGCTAAATTTAACCTTCGGGTAACTGAACATAAAGGTTTCATGCTTTGCAGTAATCCCTGGGGTGGTGCGAAGCACTTTGAACTGGAGCTTTCTAGTTCTGGCTATGACATAATGACCTAGATAACCTTGGGTGGGTTCATGCCCTCCCTGAGCCTCAGTTTCCTCATTTATTTAATGAAGGATCCTATTAAATGGTCCCCAGAGCCCTGGTACCTTGGTGATTCTGTGATTTTATGGTTTATCCAAACCAGTGGGGAAATCCTGTTTAGTTGAACTGTCGGTTAATGAGGACTGCCATAAATACTCAGCGTACACGGATTACCAAATTTCAGAGAACAAGAACACAATAAGCCTTTGGCTAACTGAAATTCTCCAGGGTTAACTGGAAAATCCCCTCAGTCAAGGTTATTGTTGAAAGACTTTCTGTCATGCCAGAGTGCAGTTTCCTGCCTTTCTGAGCACAGAGGAACCCATGAGTCACTGTCTGGGGATGGTTCTGCCACCTAGGCTGACGGGAGCCACAGCAGCAAGGGCAGGAGATGCTCCCGGGCCTCCTCCAGCCAAGGGCCACTCAGTGCAGGTGGCTGTAAGTCGGGAGCCCTGGCCAGGGCTGTAAGATAAGCGGACCCCTAGCAGGAAGCCGAGCCTGGTCTCACCTTCGCCCACCTACCCTGGGAGGTTGCCTGGGAGGACTGCCCCGACACAACCCAGGCTCCTCCCCAAGGAAAAAGGCAGGGCCGTGGGGCCCAGCACTCTGGCTTTGAGTCCAGGCTCTTCTGCTTTCTAGCTATATGACTTTCGGCAAATGCCTTAACCTTCCTGAGTCTTAGTTTCCTTGTCCATGCCTTGGGGGCAGCGACATGCTCTCACAGAGTCGTAAAGGCTAAGTGAGATAATGGATGCTAGATGACTGATTTGGGGGAGTTAGTAGGTGCTGCAGAAATGGAACTCATTCATCCATGAAGAGCGAGCATCTTCTATCATGAGAAATTCCATATGATTCTTATCTTTTTACTCAGGTTATGAAGTCAATACCAGGCTGGGAGTGATGGCACATGCTTTTAAGCCCAGCTACTCAGGAGGCTGAGGCAGAAGGATCCCAAGTCTAAGGCCAGCCTGGGCAATTTAGGCAAGATCCTGTCTTGTAAGTAAAAGGTAGGGATGTCCCTTCATGGTAGAGCATTTGCCTAGCATGTAAAATCCCTGGGTTCTATCATTAATATTGCAGAAAGAGAGAAAGAGAAGGAGAAGAAAAGAGAGAAGGAGAAAGGAGAAAGGAAAAAAAAAAAAAAAAGAGAAGTCAACATCAGATATCCAGACATTTGAGAAGCCAGCTGTTCACCGGTTAGATTCCCCGCTCCCTTCTCCCACCCGGTCCCATCATCCCGGAACAGAGACACCAGCTTTAAATCGCAACCAAGATCTCCATTTTGTAATCATCACATCAACAATCGATTCAGTCAAGAATCATCAAAAGATGCGAAGGTTTAATGCAGACAGGGTATTCACAGCTTACAGAATCTTCCACCCGACTATTAATTACAAAGGGGAACCTGATAGACTCCTCCTTAACCAAGTGACCCCAGTCATGATCACCAACCCAGACACAAAGAGGCAGCAGTGGCTCCTGCTGGGACCCGCTGAGAACCCAGCATCTCTGCGGTGGGAGCCCTGCTAGCCGGTGCCTAACCTGAATCAAGCCCTGAGCAACCCAAGCCGGGAACCTTCAGCAGTGCAGCTGACCTGTGCTCCTGAGTAACGCCAGCATCACAAAAGACAAGGAAAGGCCGAGGGACTGTTCTAAGCTAAAAGCTACAGAGACGGATTGTGAAACCTGGAATGGATCCTGGACCAGAGAAAAACATCTTTATTAAGAGCACACTTGGAAGAACCTAATGCACTGTAATATGGCCGGGTATTAAATAAGAGTATAGTATCTGGTTTTCCCGATTACGGAAAATAACCCATGATCTTGAGACATTCACACTGACATGTGTAAGGGCAAAGCAATACAATGCCTGCAACTTATGCTCAAAGGGTCCCCAAAAAAGAAAATAAGTACAAATATGTAAAAAAAAAAAAAAAAAAAGCAAGAAAAAAAAGAAAAGGTTAGAACAAATACAGCAAAACGTTGACATTTCAGACAGCCAAGGGAAGGGTACACTAAGGCTTTGAGCCAGTCCCACAGTTTTTTCGTAAATTAAAACTATGTCAAAATTTCAAAAGTAAAAAAGAAAAAAATTAGAGCTGGGGTACCTGTGGAAGCCTCCTCCTGTTGCCTGTCCCTGCAGTGCGGGGGAGCAAGGCTCTGACGGATCCTGGGTTCAAACCCTAGTTTCCACGTGTAAGCTGCACCCTGAGGCTTCGTCCCCGCACTGCAGTCCAGATAATGATAGACTGGCTCTGTCTTAAGATCTTTAAAAGACGGCCTCATGCACAGCAGACAAGCATGCACTCTCTGAGCTGTACCTTCAGCCCTTTTTATTTTTAAATTTTGAAACAGGGTCTCACGAAGCTTCCAATCTGTGATCCTCCTGCCTCAGCCTTCTACATAGCTAGGGTTACAAGTGTGTGCAGTGACACTCAGGGTACTACATGCTTTTCCATGAACACATGACATTAACAATGTGTAATATTCAAAACTGCAGTGTATGCTCTTGTGAAATTTAGGCCTTTAGTCGCTTAGTATGAGGTACTTGAATTAATGGATTATTCAGCTATTTGGCCTTCCCTTTTCAATTGATTATAGAGTGGAAAAGAAAGATAAATCTGTTTTTTCATTTCCAAAAACAGATTTTTTTTGCATTGAGAAAGGGAAAAAAAAATACCACTATCTATATTCTTGTAGTGGGAGCTGTGGCTGCCAAATATGGGAATTAAAAACAAAAAGTCTCTGAAATTTTTACTTGACCTATTAAGTTTTTGGTTTTTTTTTTTTTTTTTCCTTTTTATCGGTACCAGGGATCGAACTCACGACCACCTGCTTGCAAGGCAGGTGCTTATGCCGCTGAGCTCAATCCCCAGCCCCAACCTATTAAGTTTTAAAAATAGGTTGTTTTTTTGTTTGTTTGTTTCCTTTTTTATTTTCTTTTATAAGCACCGGGGATCGAACTCACAACTGTGCACTTGCAAGGCAGGTGCTTATGCTGCTGAGCTAAATCCCCAGTCCCTAAAAATAGTTTTTTAAAAAAGTGTTTTGTTCTCGTTCATGGGCTTAAAGAAGGTGCAAAAAGTTTTGCTGTTAAAAAAATTGTTAAAAGAATTAAACAAGGTAGTCTAAGTAAAAAAATGACATCTGCCAAACAATTGTTCACATATTCTAGATGTATATGCTGCTGAGACTCCAGAAGGGAAAAACACAGAGATCTTGCCTTTGGGTAGCTTATACTCATCAGAAAGATGGAAAATAAATGACTTCATAAATAGATGTTTACTTACAAACAGCTGTACAACCTTGGAGAGAGGTGGAAAGTGGCAGGAGGGACGGGCTCCCACCAGTAGGGTGGTCAGAGGATGCCGTTAAGGACAGGAAGGGAGAGATCAGCAGAGTAGGAGGAACAGCAGAGGCAGAGGCCCTGGGATGGGCAAGAGCTGGGTGATTCCAAGACACTGCCATCTTCTCTTCTCTGCTAGACCCCCGGCCACTCCCTGTGCCACCCCAAGGGGACAGAGCCCAGCGCAGATGTCCATTCGGTAGCAAGTGAACGGTGGAGCTCTGGCCCCAGTTTGCTCCCGGCCTTGTTAGCTCTTATCCTCACAAGGTCGCACCAAGGAAGCTTCTGCTCTGGCAGCTCTGCAATTCTCCCCTCTACATAACTGGCTTTAGAGGACCCACGGGGAAGGGACCCTGGAGACCGCGCCCCACCCCATTAGAGCTGAGGGAGCCCAGGCCTTGTGGAATGCAACTGAGTGCCCCCCACCCCCATGTCCATTTTGTTTATTTGTTCAGCGGGTTTGTTTCAGTCCTGGCACAGCCTGTTCTGACTCTGGAACATTTATGAGATGAGCCAATTTTTAAAAATCATAGAAAATAAATGGTTTACTTTTAGAGCAAAGGGGTGGGGTAGCCAGGGTGGGAGACAGGCTTCAGGCCAGCCCTAGGGCAGAATTTTGGCTTAGGTTTTGCTATACCCCCAGCCCTGGGAACAAAAGGACTATCAGTGGGATTTCCTGCATCCATTCTTCCAGTCTGCGATGGGGAAAGATTGGAGTATTTGGCTGTAAGATTTCCTGTTCTCATCTCCACCCGCAGCAGCTCCACTCCGGACCCTGGCTTCTAACTTGCTGAGCTCGAGCCACGGCTGGGCCCAGTGAGTGGGCTTGGGATGGAGGTGTCGGGGCAGCTGGATCGGTCTGCCCCATCTGCCTGTGCAGCCTCTGTAAATACTCTTCAAGAGTCGGTTGTTATGCCAACCTTGAACTGACTCTGTGCTCCACCAGTTACTTTTTAAATTTTAAATTTAAAAAAATGTCCACTTAGGATTAACAGGGCAGCTCAAATGCTGTATTTCTTGGCTTTTTTCTGACTGGATATTAATACAGAATAATATTTTATTTTGTGTTGATCTGAACCATTTCTTTGCAGCTTGGTAAATATGTGGTTACTAAAAACCTGAAAATGCAAACAAATCCAATTTTATTTACCCAATAAAATCATTTATTTAAACTTTAAATCCAGGGTGCTAGAGGGGATGGGGTAAAAGAGTTCCTGACAGTAAAAGGTCCTCGGTGAGGGTTCATTAATACATGGATCCATGAGGGCGATGGCACCTGTGACCCGCTGTGGTCCCCTGTTGGCTGTCCCAGGAGGACCAGGGGGAGGACCAGTCAGAAGTTACCTATCTGCAGGCACTTTCTCCCTAAGGGGAGCAACAGGCCCATCCCTAACCCCAGTCAGGCAGCACTAAGACTGGTGAGCACATGGGGCTAGGGCTGTGTGTCCCAGAGCCCCTCCAAGGAACATGGACGACAGCCTGGACTCCAACGCCAGCACCCACCCCAGCGCCCACTGCCCTGTGCTCAAGGCCATTGTCCAAGAAGCAGAGGCAGGCCAGCTGTGGGAGGTGCTGCTCTTCACTTCCAAGATTAGCTCAGACCTCAGACACACAGGCCAGCACCTGCCCTTCGTGCCAAGGGAAACAGTGGATGTCAGAAGCCTCCGTAGGTATCTGGAAGAGAACAGTGCCTGTGCTCCTCCCTTCCTTGTATGAGGTCATTGAATCAGGATGACAAAGCAAACAGTGACATGTGCTGGGACTTGTTCCCAGACTGAATCCAGGGTTTCTCCAGCCCTTCCCGCCTCCCCACCCAGAGTGGCAGACCCAGGTGTGGACAATGAGCTAAAACGGACTTGGTTCTGGGGCCCCTGGGAAATGAAGGGGAGCTGGGAGATGATGTCTGCGGTGGAAGAGAGGCGGCCCTGGCTCTGGGACATTCGCATTGCCAGACATTAACATGGTGCATTCCAGACTTAACAAGCTTGCACACATGCCAATTGGAGTTAAGGAGGGTGGGAATTCCTCATCACCGACTTCACCGACGAGGAAACAGGCTCATTTCAGGTCATCAGCCTCATCAAGGTTACATGGCTTATGCATGACAAAACTAGACTTTGACTGGTGGTTCAAGCTTGTAATTCAGACTTTGACTGGTGGTTCAAGCCTGTAATTCCGCGACTCAGAAGGTTCGGGAACAAGGAACGCAAGTTTGAAGCCAGCGTGGGCAACAGGGCAAGACCCTCAAAAAAAAAACAAAACCTGGGGATGTAGCTCACTGGCAGAACACTTGCCTCACACTCAAGGCTCTGGGTTCTCCCATAGTGCATGCATGCACACGTGCGCGCGCACACACACACACACAATGTGACTGGCAGTTTTGTTCTATCTTCCTCCCTCACCAGAGTTTCGTGAACTTACTGTGGATACACCTGCTTCACGCTTCTCGCCTGGTTGCACAGTATTCCCACACTAGTGTTTACTTTTCTCTTGCAGTCATTGTAAGAGTTGGCCTCATTCTAAGCAACACTGTGTGAATAATATGAAACATTTTAAATATACATTTAACATATCCCATCCCCCTTTTCATTACTAGGCTAGCGGCCAAAGGGATGGCCTGTGGAAATGCTCAGTATTGTGTACATGTCTGCTCAGCCGGTGTTACAGTTCTCTACAGTGAATGTAATCATTGTGCATTACAGCCACATGCTAGTAAAAGTCAAAAAAGAAAAATCCTCAACTAACGGCCTCTACTATGTGTGTTAGGGCTGTGCCCAGCTACAATCACAGTGATCAAATCATGGAGGATAAGAAGCAAACCACGGACTCTTAATGTCTAAGGGACAGACCTTACATAGCATATCCAGTCATGGCTCTAAAGATTAAGGGACACCATTCAAAAATCTGAAGATGAAAGCCAGGTGTGGTGGTGCATATCTATAATCCCAGCACTTGGGAGGCTGAGGCAGGAGGGTCACTGCAAGTTCAAGGCCAGCCTTGACTATGTAGTGAGACTCTGTCTCAAAAAACAAAACCAAAACCAAACAAAAAATCTGAAGATGAATCAGCAGGCCTTGCTCCTAAAAACCCCAGTGTACAGAGCTGTGTGTGTAGTGTGAGGCCCCAGCTACCATCTGATCTGCGGTACTACAAAACAAGCAAACAAAAACATCACAGACATAAACAACTGAAAACCAGAAGGAATAAGCGGATACCCTGGACTCAGAGAAACTCTGATCTAGCTTTGGTTCCGTCACAAGCTCAATGTGTCTTTGAGGAAGTCACTTCAACTTTCCAGGCTGTTTTCTTCGGTAGAGAGGATGATATTTCCATCTTCTGCTTTTCAAGACTGACTGGTAGGAGACTCATTCAAAAGGGGCAGCTGGGTGAAAAGCCTTCAAACTGCCATGTAAACAGCCTAAGACGTAAGGAGGTAATACTCCAGTTCTTCCACAGGGTGTTTGCACTGTAGCTGGAGAAGGACTATCCCAAGGTGGAAGGGACTGGGCAGCACCCTTTGGATCTGACCATGGACCCTGGCCATCGTGCTGCTTCCAGGTCCTGGGCCTGGAAACCACCGGGAAACGGAATCACCCTGCTGCCCTTACCTCCTTTACTCTCGGGGTTTTCTGATTCTTCCTTTTCTGTTTTAAAATACCTGTCTTTCGGCTCTCTGCGCCGGTTCGCTGCATCGTGATGGGTCTTTACTGCCCTCACGTGGTCACTTTCTGCCATGGCTACACGGTCTTAAGGCAGAACTGAAGAGACCGGAGCCAACCCTTAAGTTCAGGGTTTTCCAAGGCCAGCGAGGGAATTAAAATCCAAGTCAAAGCCAGCTTGTGGGATCCAGAGCTCCTTGCTGGGAAGGGGTATCCTGCTTGGTTTTGGCCCAAGTAGGGCAAGAATCCAAGTCTCTGGATTAATCTTGCTAAAGTGGTCAGTTCCCAACTCATCCAGGTTGCCCTGAGCGAGGTCTTGGAACTGAAAATAGCTGTGAGGTTTCCTTTCTCTGCCAGGAAAGCCAAAGGGTAGGAAGAGCTGAGACTTGAACCCACCCTACAACACTCGACCACTGAAACCAGCAGGTAACTAAGCACCTGTCTCGTGAACTGCTAGGCAGACTGGAACGGGTACAAAATATGTACTCCTGACCTCAAGAACTCATAAAGCTTACCAATGTGAATAACTCACACGCACATATAGTGAACAGAATCAAGGCCAGGCATGTGGTGCACACTTGTAACCCCAGCACTAGGGAGACTGAGGCAGGAGACCAGTGAGTTGGAAGCCAGCCTGGGCTACAGAGTGAGTTCAAGACCACCCCGCCATATAATGAAACCCCATCTCAAAAAGACCAAAAAACACAAAACACAAAAAACCCCACATACACACACAAAGAAACCCAGAATTAATCAATTATAATAAGGACTGATAAAAGTAGAAATAAAGTATTAAGAATTAATGAGAAGCACAGGGTTGGTAAAAGCCATGGGGATCAGGAAATTTCAAGAAAATAGGCTTGCTGGACGTGGTGGCTCACGCCTGTAATCCCAGCACTCGGAGGCTGAGGCGGGAGAATTGTTGTGAGTTCCAGACCAGCCTGGGCTACAAAGTGAGCTCAAGGCCAGCCAGAACTGCATAGCGAGACCCCGTCTCAAAAAAAAAAAAAAAAAAAAAAAAAAGGCTCAAAGCGCAATGTCTTTAAAATCAGTAGGACGTGGGGAACAGAGTACAACAAGGATTTCTAGGCAGTGAAACTATCCGTATATAATAGTGGATGCATGACCTATATTTGTCAAATCCATGCAGCATACAATGCCAAAAGTGAACCCTACTGTAAAGCATGGACTTTAGGTGAATGTTGTCCATGTAAGTTTATCAGTTACAAACAACATACCACTCTTAGGGGGTGCTGGTAATGCAGAAGCAGTGTGTTGTGAGGGCAGGGATGTATGAAGAGCTTTGACCTTTCCACTCAGTTTTTCCATGAATTTTCCCCAAAAAATATTCCCAAAAAATCACCATGGAAGAGATAAAGAACAATTTGATTAATTCCAGTTTTGAAGAAGACACTACCAGTTAGGAATTTTCTGTTAATAAGTCTCTAAGTTCAGTCATCCCTTGGTGTCCAGGAGAATTGATTCTAGGACTATCTGCAGGCACCATAATCTGTACATGCTATGTTGGTTACTTTTCTTTTATTGCTGGGACAAACTATCTGACACACAAAATTAAGGAATAAAAGGTTTATTTAGCTTACAGCTTGTGGAAGTTTCAGTCCATAGTCTGCTGGCTCCAAGGCAGGGTGGCTCATGGCAGAGGGCAACAGTTCATGGTGGTGGAAGACAACAAAAGCAACCAGAGCAAAGGGGGAAGAACACAGAAGACCCTGTCTCTTATACTGTATGTAGGCCACACCCACCCTACGATGACGTAGCACTCACACCCATAATCCCTGCATTGGACCATGAATCAATCACAAATTCTAGAAGCCCGCTCCCATGACTGCCTGAGGCTGTGGGGGGCCATCCAGACACAAACCATAACAGATGTTCAAATTCCTTGAATAAAACACATTGTATTTACATGTAACCACTCTAAAGAATATAGTCTACTGAAGAGCAGGAGCTTATCCAAGAAACATAAGCAAGAAAAATATTATTAATGGCAACTACATTTTTGGAAGAAGCAGTTATATGTTGAACATGGCTGAGATTTTACATATATTTTAGTTAACTGATCCTCCTCACAACAATACTACTAGTATATGTTATTTTCTCTATTTATTAGACAAGGAAACTGCAGTTCAAGGCTTGTAGAGCAAGGCTTGATAGAAGATACACAAGCAGAAGGAAAAGGAAAATGTTTGTTTAGTTTGTTTGTTTAGACTATCAGGGGTGTCTCATCAAGTGACATAAAGGGAAGGGCAAGGACACTGTGGGGTCATGAGGATCGAAAAGTACAGGAAATCCTAAGATAAAGGATAATAAGACCTCAAAAAAACTTGGACCTTGGGGCTGGAGATTTAGTTCAGTGGCATAAGCGCCTGCCTTGCAAGCAGGCAGTTGTGAGTTCGATCCCTGGTACCAATAAAAAGGAAAAAGACAAAAAAAAAAAAAAAACAACAAACTTGGACCTCACCCTTGGGATATCAGAGAACCTCTAGAGATTTCAAAGCAAGCCATCCCTCTCAGCATGGACTTGAGATGTACATGGAACTGTGATGCAAAAGTGAAGCAAGACCTGTGAGGGGTCGCGAGGTGCAGGATTCTGGATCACAGCAGTGAGCAGTGTTGAGAAAAATCCTCAGACCTCTGCCTGGAGGAATGAAAAGCAGCCCTTAGTGGGAGCCACTGTCCCCTTGTGTGCTGGGCCTCTGACCTGCCTCTTCCACGCCACATCCTAGGGCAGGTTTTCTGGTCTCCTCTGGAATTGTAACAGGCACCTAAAATCTTGGTCTGAGATGCCTAATTACAAGCAGGATAAAGTCTGGCACCTCTGCCCTCATTTTTACATCTCCCTTACTGTCTCACACTTCGCGTGAGATCCCTGCTCAGCTCTGTACTTCCAGAGTGCCTGTGCTACAGAGTTTATTAGCTCTAGTTACTTGGCCTCTCTCATTGTCTTCAAGACTGAGGACACAAGATGGGAGTAAAAGAAGTTAATTCTCAGAATGTGCAGAGCTATTCAATTGCCAGTTTTTGCAGCACCCAGTCCAGACTCCCTGGGCTGATACTTAGAAGCCTTGAGTCATTGTCCTTAACCTGCAGAGGCTTCCAGACCACCCAGTGATGAGCGGTTACCCCACGTCAGGAACTGAGGCTGCCCTCATCTCACGATGGGACCAAGCTTCCTCCTCTAGCGATGACGGCTGTCGCAGAGCCTCCCAGAACCAGTGCAGAGCTACCAGGCCACCAGACCACAACCGGATCAAGATTACCTACTCTGCCAGCTATAGGAACCCACAACGCTTGCCTTTATTCCTCATTTCTATAAAATCTGAGACTTCTGTGAGCCCTTGAAGACCGACTTTGAACTTCTCTGCTTCCTAGCATGGCCAGGCTGATTAGAGTTCCCTTCCTGCCCTTAACCCCTGCTCCTTTCCTTAACTGATGTTATGGAACGGGTGCGTGAGCGTGGGCTTTTGGGACCCGTTCCCCAGATGCAGGGCTTTTTTGTCTGTTTCACCCTGCGTTACTGGGTGCCAAACCTCTAACTTCAACACAGGAACAGGTCTGCTCAGAGACCAAAGACATCTTGAAAATTGTTTCCAAGTGAGGCATCTCGGGATCAGTGGCCAGTTACACCAGGAGGCTATGCAGTTTGATGCAGTGACCCACTTCCCAAAAGTCAAGTGTTCTGTGTCATTTCCCAGCAGCCCAGCCTCTGGTTGGACCAAAGCCTATGTGGGAACTCAGCCCCTGCTCCCAGGGCCTTTGGTTCCTGCCACAGGGCTGGCAGCTTTCCTCTGGCGCCCACTTTCAGGAAGCCATCCACAGCTGCTGGCTGGCTGCTGTCACTTGTCACTTCCTATCCAGGAGGTGGCAGCATTTCAGGGATCCAGAGATAGATCCTTGGGCTGCTGCTAATAGCTTCCAAATTGGGAACCGGGGTTTTATTTCCAAGTAGTTCCAGTAAAGTAATAATGGGGAGGGGTGTGGACCTCAAGGAACTAGCAAGCCTTAGTACCTCCTAAGCTGAGCTGGGACAATTTCAGGAAAAAATTTGTAGCACACACTCAACAAACTTAACTGAATGTGAGGGACACTGCACACGCCTAGTACGAGGCCTTGTTCTCGGAGTTTTGATTCAAGGAAGGAAAGGAAATGAGACTCTGGAGCAGTGTCTCTGTACTCTGCTTTCTCTCCCAGTTTCAGCCACGCCTGCCCTTTACTGGCTCTGGCTCAATGCTGCTTCTGGTATTAGCTATGACTGCCCTGAAGCTGCGCGTCCAGTTCTGTGACCAACAAAACCAAAACAAATTTAGACATACAAGAAGTAAAAATAAAGGCCACACAATCAAGGGACTTCTTAGGGATATACTGTCCTGAATGAATGCCAAGAAAGAAGTACATCTTCTATCTCTAAAACAACAAACAAACAGCTTTGAAATGAAACAAATTCATTTGCTGGAAGTCTAGGAAAAGATCAGTGAGCTGCCAGCAGCAACCCTGACTCCACAGCTGGGGAGGAGGGCTGAATCAGCACTGGGAAAATCACTCCAAGCCCTCAGGGAAAAGCAGAAAGAATAGAAAGGAAGGGGACAAAGGCAACAGACAACACCCTAATAACCGAACAGCAGGTTAATATAGAAACTTCATAGACATGAACTGATCCTCCGGACCACTCCTGCGGGGAGGCTGGGCACACACTGCAGGAAAGCCCACAGCGGCGGCAGAGATAGCGATGGCGACAGAACTTTTACTTCTCAAGGCCTCGGTTTCTTCACCTGTTTCCTCCCTTGGCACCAGCCTATTCCCAAGCCTTGCGTCTTTCCAAGTGCTGAACGACAGAGCTACATGAAGCTGGCCTCTGAACAGTGGAGGCTGATCCTCCCATTACAGTGCAGCGGCAAGGTCCGTGGCACGATCTCATCCTGATTTAAGCCTTGAAGTCTTTTTGTTTTTTCAGACAGGGTTTCACCATGCATTTCAGGTTGGCCTTGGATTGTCTTTGTAGTCCAGGCTGGCCTTGGATTTGCAGCAATCCTCCTGCCTCAACCTTCAGTGCTGGGATTACAAAGTGCTGGGATTATAGGCATGTGCCACCATGCCCCTATGAGAATACATTTTTTTAAAAAGGCTCAAGATGGGCTGGAGATTTAGCTCAGTGGCATAAGTGCCTGCCTGGCAAGCACAAAGTCACTGAGTTTGATCCCTGTACCAAAAGAAAAAAAAAAGGCTCAAGAATGTTCTATGATGTGTTTAATTATGCAGGATTTTTTTGCTTTTTCATCAGTATTGGGGATCAAAATCAGGTTAGGTCTTATTTTCAAGGAAATATGATATAATGATGTTCTCATTCACAAATACAAAAAGACAGGAGCACACATTAGGCTCCGCCTCCTTTTTGTAATAACAACTACGAACATCTACAAAACCCTGGAAAGTAAACCCACTTCCACCTTCTCATTTGATACGCACAGCACCTCTGAGTTTCTCAGAGCAGGAGGCATTGCTGCCCCATTGAGCAGTCAGAACTGAGACTCAGGAGAATGCAGTGCTGTGCCCAGTCACCTACTCAGCAGAAGGAGAGAAGACTCATGTGCAGGGCTTTTAAATCAAGTCCACCAGCCACTGGTGTCAACTGTACACGTTACAGTTGAGATTTTATTTTGGTGCATGGATTCTATTTGCTCTTAGTGTCTTTACACATGGGGCCATACCCACCGTCCCCAGAACACTTAGAATTCTGCGTTCCTGAAGCGGCTGTGCCCTGTGGAGCCTCTAGGACTTAAGAGTCCACTAACAGTGTAGAGAGAGGAAAGGATGTGCACGTGTGTACTTGTGTATTTGTGTGTGTGTTTGCAGCACCAACTGCAGGGCCTTCGCTTCACCTGGAGCAAGGCTATTTTTATCTGTTCATGAATTAGAGTCCACATACAACTTTATCTGAATAGAGCTGCATCTCTAAGGACCAATGTCTGTCTCGGATCTCCATTCACCACTTTGACTCAAGGTGGTATGGTCACTCTAACCCCAAATCCCTGTCACACCTTATATCATCAACCAGTTCTATCCAATCAGTCTGAATGAAGTCCAAAATGAGTTTCCATGGTACCCACAGTCCTCCTTCTTTTCAAGCTGGGATGGATTCTAGGGGAACTCCACCACTGAGCTCCAACGCTTTTTTTTTTTAGTGGTACTAGAGATTGAATCAAGGGCTTTTGCACTAAACTACATTCTAGGCCTTTTTTTCTTTTGAGACAGAGTCTTGCTAAGATGCCAAGGCCAGGCTCAAACTTTTGATCCTCCTGCCTCAGCTACCATAGTGCTGGATATATGGCATGTGACACCATGTCTGGATATCCCCAGCCCTTTTTATTTTTATGTTGAGAGGGTCTCACTAAGCTGCTCAGGCTGGGCTCGAACTTGTGACTTTCTCTCAGTCTGACTTAGTGCTGAGATTACAGGAGCATGCCACTACGCCTTCCTTCAGTGGATCAGACTTCCGACATCTGCCAGGGTGACTGAAGTTGCCCGTTACTGCTTTTCCTCTTCCTTCATAAATATTCCACTTTAGGAAAGCAGCAGCTTCACACACTCTCTAGGGGGCCGTAGCAATGCTCCTGCTGAGTATGTCTGCCTTCAACTAACTCAAGTGCTCTCCACCCCGCTTCACTCTCCGACTTTCCTTCCTACAGAGTGAGGCATTAATGACAGGCAGGAGGACAGGGAGAAAGACATCTTGCATTTCCTCCTGTGTCCGGGGAGGAAGGAACACTCACTCCCCACTCCAAAGTGAGAAGTCCCACCCTAAAGAGAACACACTCTGCTTTCCACTCTATGACCTTATTTATGTTCTTCCACAGAGGAGGGATAAGTAACCAATGAGGCAGAATGCAGAACGTTGAGTGGGCTGTGTGCATGGCTATGACCAGTGGCTATGTGCATAAGACGGTGCCATGGTTAACTGTGTCCTGATAAGCCAGGGTCGGCTTTCAAACTTGGTAAGAAAATTATACTTGGAATCAGTACGAAGCCCCACTATAAATCTATTTTTAGTTCTAAGAATGATGACCCACCAAGTCAAACCCAAGGCAGACCCTTATATTTCAACAGTTATTTGAGGATACAATACCAGTGAATTCTACAGCCTGACTGCCAGAGGCATCACAATGCTCAGGAAAAGTATGGTCCCTTTTTTGGTTTGCTTTGTGTTTTGTCATGATGCAGGGATCAAACCCAGGACCCCACACATGCCAGGCAAGACTTCCTTCTCAAGTCCCTAAGTCTTAAGAGGCTCGATCTTAAATCAACAGTACAGACATTTTTTGTATTCTCATTTTATAACAGAATCACGTATCTCACTTTTCTAATTCCCAAAGTATATGGTTTCCTTTTTACATATATACACTAGCACTTTAAACATAAATACCAAAATCTCAGAAGAATCAGATGGGAGGACAAATTTAAGCAGCCAAGAGCATGGAAGAAAAGGCCAGTCACCTGACTATACAAAGGCTCATCTAAGGGGCTGGGGATTTAGCTCAGTGGCATAAGTGCCTGCCTTGCAAGCGCACAGTTGTGAGTTTGATCCCCAATACCGATTAAAAAAAAAAAAAAAAAAGGCTCATCTAAACATCTCTCGCCTCCACACGACATAGCATCCAAAATATCTTATGTTCACTGTCTGCAGGTTGTCCTGTGGGAGCCTAAGGGAGTCAGTAGCCGTACTTGTCATTAAGATGAGTTCTGCCATCTCCACTTTGACCTACATCAAAACACAAAAAAAGAAAGAAATATATTTACTCTTCTGAAATCAAGAAGGAAAAAAGTATCCAGACAGCAATAGGGCACAAGTAAAACAAAGAAGTTTCTTCTATAGTAAAAATTTAACTTTTTGCATATAACTTCAGAATATAGTTATTTTTCATTTCTACCCTAACATTTATTAGCAGATAAGAAGCAAACACTTCTAATAACTAAATTTCTATTAAATACTAATATCTTAAAACTATCCACCGAAAAAGCAAGATGCATAAGAATATGGGGAAAATGACATCTCATTCATTGCTATGTATATATATAAGCACCAAACCAAATACAGTACAGAATACAATTTAGACTACCTTCAAAATATCTTTAACTCAGCATGTTAACTTATTTTTCTACAGATGTACCTCTATACTTTATATACTGCATATATTACAAAGTTACATGTTAGAAGGTACTGCAGAATTGTTTGTAATGGCAACCCTCCCACAAAACAAAACAAAACAAAACCCTAAAAAAAAAAAAAAAAAACTGGAAACACAGAAAATCTATTGAGGGAACTGTTTAAATAAAATGCTTCCACTAGTAAAGCAAAGTGGTAAAATATGTGTCTTATTGCCTAAATAGATATTTTATATAAAGATTAATAAGAGACTAATACAGTATTTGGCTGTCTTAGTGAAAATGGTGAGCCACTGAGGCTTAGCCTAAAGATTTTTTTTTCTTCCTCTTAACTTAATAAAGTTAAAATACACGCAAAAATAAACAGAAGCTGAGCATGGTGATGCACATCTGTAACCCCAGCGTTTGGGAGGTTGACCTGGGAGAATCACAAGTTCGAGGCCAGCCTAGGCTACATGGTGAGTTCAGCCTGAACTACACAGCAAAACCTGTTCAAATAAAGCAAAACAAAAAGCAAATAAAAAACTATAATGAACTTCACCCAGATTTAATTATCACTTTCCTGCTTTATCTACCACCCTTCTCTATGTTCTCTCCCCTTCTACCACTGGATTATTTTAAAGTACATCCCAAATCCATTTTATTTCAAGGATAAAAAGAAAAGAAAGAAGAAGGAGGAGGAGGAAGAAGAGGAAGAAGAAGAAGAGGAGGAGAAAGGGGAGGAGGAAGAGAAGGAAGGGAAGGAGGAAGAGAAAGAAGAAGGAGGAGCAGGAGGAAGAGGAGAAGAAAGAGCAGCAGTAGTAAACCCCAGATGTCATCCGTTCCAGCTGTAACCCATATGCACAGAATATAAGAACTCTGCCCCAATCAGCTGGTGGGGGTAGCACCTGCCTGTGGTCCTGGCACTCTGGAGGCTGGGGCAAGAGTACTGCCACAAGTTTGAGCCCATCCTGGGCTGCACAGTGAATTAAAGGGCAGCCTGCAGAGAGATTCAGTCCTAAAAAAACAAAACAAAAAAACTATGCCTCAAAGCAACATCATTTTCCAAATGCTGTTTCCTGCTATTAACATTTATTTTATTTTTTGGTCTTTTTTGAGACAGGGTTTCACTATGCAGTTCAGGTTGGATTGAACTCACTTTGTACCCCAGGTTGACCTTGAACTTACGATCAGCGCCCAGTTAACTTTAGATCTTTTAATTTGTTCCTGAAGACCTTTATTCCATATTCTTGTAACTTTACCATATTATGAGCTGCTTTTTACTCTGTTGGTGGTTTCTCTTGTTGTGCAAAAGCTTTTTAATAAGATGAGATCCCAGTTGTTGATTCTTTGTGACAGTTTCTGCGCGATCAGGGTTTTGTTTAAAGTCTTTACCTACACCACTGTCTTCAAGAGTTTAACCCACTCTTATCTTCCAGCAGGCTTAATGTTTCTGCTTTCATATTTAGACCTTTGATCCATTCTGAATTTAGTTTAGTGCCTGGTGAAAGATATGGCTCAACTTTAATCTTCAGCATGTGCAGAGCCAGTTTTTTCAGCACCGTTTATCTTTCTTCCAGGGAATGGGTTTGGCACCTTTGTCAAAAATAAGGTGAGTAGTATGTCTGGAGTTGTTTCTGCACCTTCTAGTCTGTTCCACTGATCTTCGAGTCTGTTTTTTCTTCTGGTACCATGCTCTTTTTATCACAGTAGCTTTATAATACAATTTTGAGTCAGGGATTGTGATGTCCCCTGCCTTGCCTTTGCCCAGGATTACCTTTGCTATCCTAGGTTTCTGTTGGTTCCAAATGAATTTTAGGGCTGTTTTCTCTAATTCTGTGAGATATACTATTGGAATTTTGATTGGAATTGCATTAAATCTGTATAACACTTTGGAAGTATGGCCATTTTCACTATATTGGTTTTTCCTACCTAAGAGCAAGGGATGTTCTTCCATTTTCTGATATCCTCTCCAACCTTCTTTTTCAGAGTATGGCAGTTTTCTATGTAGAGGTCTTTTACGTCCTTCATTAAATTGGTTCTTAGGTGTTTCATTTTTTGGATGCTATTGTAAAAGGTGCTGTTTCCTTAATTTCTCTCTCAGTGAGTTTTTTATTGTATATAGAAATGCTACTGACTTTTGGGTGTTGCCTTTGTATCCAGCTACACTACTGAATTTGCTTATTAAATCTACTAGTTTTTTAGTAGAGTTTTTGGGGTCTTTTATGTAGAGTATCAGGTCATTTGCAAAAAAACAATAGTTTAACTTCTTTCTTTCCTATCTTTCTTCTTTTTCTTTCTCTTGTCTAGTTGCTCTGGCTAAAGTTTCCATGACAATGTGAGCAAGAATGGAGATAGTGGACATCTTTGTCTTGTTCCTGATTTTTAGAAAGTTTTCAGTTTTATCAGATTGAGATAAAGACCATCTATTCCAATTTTCTGTAGGGTTTTTACCATGAATGGATGCTGGACACTGTCAAAAGCTTTTTCTGCATCTATGGAAATGATCGTATGATTTTTGTTCTTGGCTGTTTATACGGTGTACATTTACTGATGTATGTTGAACCATCTCTGCATTCCTGGGATGAATCTCACTTGGTCATGGTGTATAATCTTCTTGATGATTTTGCTGCGTTCTGTTTACCAGTGTCCTATTGAGGATTTTTGCATCTATGCTCATTAGGGACACTGGTTTGTAATTTTCTTAGTTGGGTCCTTCTCCAGTTTTGGTATGAGGGTAATGCCTGCTTTCAGGAGTGAATATGGGATTATTGCTTCCCTTTTAGTTTCATTAAAGAGTTTGAGAAGTAGTAGTGTTAAGTCTTCTCTAAATTTTGTACAATTCAGTAGTGAATCTGTCAGGGCTTGGGCTTTTCTTTGTTGGTGGATTTTTAATTACATTTTTGATTTCATTGATAGATACAGGTGTATTTAGAATTTTTGTATCTCTTGATCCAGCTTTGGTAATTCATATGTATCTAGAAATCTGTCTGTTTCTTCTGCATTTTTCATCTTATTAGAATACAAGTTTCAAAGTAGGTATAGATGATCGTCTGGATTTTTGGAAGGGTCTGTTGTGATTTCATTCTTTTCATTCCTAATTGCATGGATTTTGAGTCTTTTCTTTCCTTTTTATTGATAAGGTTGGATAAGGGTTTGTTGATTTTATTTAATCTTTCAAAGAGCCAACTCTTTCACTCATGAATTCTTTGTATTATTTTTTTTTAATCTCCAAGGCATTAATATCTGCTCTGATCTTTATAATTTCCTCCCTTGTATGAGCTTTTGGTTTCACCTGCTCTTTTTCTAAAAGTTTGAGGTGTGCCATTAATTTGTTTATTCATACTTGCTCTGTTTTCCTGATATGGTATTTACTGCTATAAATCTCCCTCTTAGGACGGCTTTCATTGTGTCCCACAAGTTCTGATATGTTGGACTGTCATTATCACTTAATTGTAGAAATTATCTAATTTCTTAAATTTCATCTGTGACCTAATGGGTGTTCAGGAGTGTGCTATTTAATTTCTTTTCCATGTGTTTATGAAATTCTTCTGGTTCCTTTTACTGTTGATTTCCAATTTCTTTGCACTACGGCCTGATGGCATACATGGGATAACTTCAATTACTTTGTGTTTACTTATGAATGTTCTATGAGCCAGTATATGGTCTATTTTCGAGAACATCCCATGTGCAGCTAAGAAGAATGTGTATTCTGATGTTGTGGGTGGAATACTCTATAAACATCAACCAAGTCCATTTGCTCAAAAGTTTGGTCTTGTTCTAGTATTTCCTTATTGATTTTTTGTCTAGTTGTTCTGTCTTTTTGTGACAGTGGGGTATTGAGGGTTGTATTAGGGTTTATTTGAATTTTCATGTCCGTTAGTAGTTGTTTTATATAGTTGGATGCACTGGTATTTGTTGTATGCATATTTATGGTTGTCATCTCTTCCTCTTGGATTGTTCCTTTTACAAGGATGTAGTGATCTTCTTTATCTCTCTTAATCAATCTTGGCTTGAAATTCAGTTTGTGTGCAAATAGAATAGCTGCCCCTGTTTTTTTCCCAGGGAATATTGTTCTCTATCCTTTGACTTTCGGTCTATGAATTTGTTTTTGAATTAAATATGTTTCTTGTGTGCAGCACACTGTCATGTCATAGTCAGCAGAAATTCAACACAACATAACACAACAGCATATGGGTCTTGCGTCTTGGTCCATTCTGCCAGTCTGGTGAATTAAGACCATTAACACTGATGGTTACAACCGATGCATACTGATTTATTCTAGTCATGTTATTTTCCTGTTAGGGGCTCCCTACTCTTTTTTCCCTGAGCTAGATGCCGCCCTTCCTTGTTATCTCTTGTCATGGAAGCATCTTATTTCTCCTTTAGTTTTGAAAGATAGTTTTATGGGGCACATCAATCTGAGTTGAAGGCTATTTTCCTTGGGAGTTTGAAATACTTCACTCAAGCTCTTCTTGATTTAGGGTTTATGCTGAGAAGTCAGCTGTGATTCAGATGATTTTCCTCTGTAGAAGATTTGTTCCTTTTCCCTTATAGCTTTTAAGATTCTACTGTTGAGTTGAATTTCTGCAATCTTGACTATGACATGCCTGGCTGTAGACTTTTTTTTGATCATGGCTAATTGGAATGCTATATGTATGCCTCACTTACCTCTATGTCAAATTCTTTTCTCTACCAGGGGAGTTTTCTGATCTTGCAACTTTCTTATTTTGAACATTAAATACACATTAACTTCAAAAACGAGACAAAAGATAAAAACAATGTACCTTCAGGTGGAACCCACACACAGTAGTCTGGATCATCTTCAGGGTATTTTGAAGAAAGTGTACAAAACTACAAAGAAAAGTTGGATTATTTTACTTAAAAAATTAATTTTAAGAATTATTATTCTTGTCTGTACCTACAAACCAAAACAAAAAGAAAACAGTTTTCATCAGTGTTTTTTTCTTTTTGGGACAGGGCTTTACTATGTAGCCCAGGCTAGCCTTAAACTTTCAATGCCCTACTGCCTCAGCCTCCTGAGTTGTGGGATTACAAGCATGTGCTATCATGCACAACCCATTAGTGATCTGATATCAATAGCCTATTTGAGAGAGCATTCTCTCTGATCTTGAATTTTTTCCATAAAACTTTAACAAGCTGATTTTCTAGCCAGTGAAAATGATGAAGTGTTCCTTACAAAGGGAGTTAAAATACTGCAGATATAAATACTTAATGCAGCCAGGTGTGGTGGTACATGCCTGTAATCCCAGCACTCAGAAGGCCGAGGTGGAGGGTCACTGTAAGTTCAAGGCCAGCCTGTACTACACAGTGAGACCCTGCTTCAAAAAACAAACAAAACTTAATGCAGTAACCCCTAGGATAGGAAATCTAGGGTTCGCCTTTTGACTTAGGTAGAGAAGAGTTTATAGGACAAGCCTAACTGCTGTTCTTTGACTGCTAACCTCGGTAAGGCTGGCCTTCAGCTGGTTTCTGGGAACATGGATTTCAGGAGGGTCACTACTACCCTAACTGATACAGGTGACTCACTATTCCTCTGTAGTCTAAACCATGTGGTTTATTTGCCTTCTTTCTGTCTGGGATCTCGAATTTGGAGACAGGCCAGTTTGGTAATGCCTGACAAATCCCCAACAAACATTCTTGGCTGAGTCTCTAAGGAGTTTCTTCTTAGTAACATTTCACATTTGTAAGAACTCACTGCTAGGGGGTCAAGCCCTTCCTGTGCGTCTTCACTGGAGGAGGGCCCTTCCAAGCTTTTATCGGCTTCCCCACGATTTTACCCAGGCGTCCTTCCCCTGGAACCCTGCTGTAGAAAATCACAGCTGCAAGTACAGCCCTATGCTGAGTCCTCTTAGGAGTTACCTGAAGGTGACCTTGGGGCCTCCTAAGACAACCTGGCAATCCCACTTCTGGGACTTAGAACACCCACAACAAATTTACATATACATAAGGTCATTTGTGGCAGTACTGGTGTAATAAAAGACAAGAAGCAATCCAAGGCTCCATCTGCAGAAAAGTGGCTAAGTAAGTAGGAAGCTCTTGATACATTGATACAGCATGCTATTCATGACAGGTTAGAAATATTAAGATACACAATGGAGCATATTGATTATTCTTTTGCGCAAGAAAGGAGAAAACATTACAATGTCTTTGCAGACTAGGATATAAAAAGTCACAAATTAATAAAAGAGGTACCCTATATGAGACCAACTATAAGGATTAGGTTAGAGATTTCACAAAAATCAAGAGTCCAGATTTCTATGAGAGGACTAAAGTTGCTGGAATTCTGTTAAGTTTGTCTCTGAAGTATCACAGTCAGGTATACGGTTCATGAAAAGCACATTCATTCATTTTTACTTCAGGAGTGAAGTACTTACTTTGGCTGGACCAGGAGCTTCCTTTTTCTTCAGTTCATTGGTGCTATTCTCATATGCATGCTTTGATGCTAATTTAAGAAAAAAAGAGTAATGATTACTTTCATAAAAAGGCACATAAAAAGAACAAAAACTACTTAAAAATGAGTAATATTTACCATTATAGTGGTATTCTAGCATTCAGGAGGCTGAGGCAGGGGGATTGCTGAATTCAAGTCCAGCCTGAGCTGCTTAGGGAATTGAAGTCTAGCCAGAACTATACAGTGAGACCTTGTCTCAAAAATAAGCAAACAAACAAATGAAAAAACCAAAACTTTTATCACTGCAAAAACTGTATTAAGGAGGGCTGGGCACAATGTCATATCCATGTAATGCCAGCTAGCTGGGAAGCTGAGATAGAAGGATTCAGTTTGAGGTCAACATAGTCAACTTAGTGAGATTTTTGTCTCAAGATAAAACAAAAAGGGGTAGGATGTAGCTTAGTGGTGAAGCTTTAATATATGAGGAGCCCTGGTTCTATATCCAGTACCACAAAACTTTTTAAAAATTTTAAGAAATAAAGGTGAGAGAAATCAGGTATGGTGGTGCATATCTCTAATCCCAGCACACAGAAGGATTGCTGTGAGTTTGAGGCCAGCCTCGGCTATGTAGTAAGTTCAAGACATTACATTACAGAGTGAGACTTTGTCTCAAAAACCAAAACACAGGGCCAGGGAGGTAGCTCAGTGGCACAGCACCTGCCTGGCAAGTGCAAGACCCTGAGTTTGATTGTTGGTTCCAAAAAAGAAAACAGAAAAAATCCATCAAAAAACAAACAACAAACAAATAAACAAAAAACTCAAGGGAAAGAGAAATTTTCCTCCACTAATATCCCCAGTTTTTCAATCCTAAGGCTATTCTATAAGCTTCAAAATGATAATATTGCTTTGATTATTCCAAGGTTTAACTATTATAAGTGAAACCAGATAAAAGCAGACTTTCTAGTAGACCAGCCTTTCAATTAATTCATTCTAACAGGTTTGGAATCACTTGCAAGGAGTGATTTGAGATGTAAAACTGGGTAGGGCTTTGTCTGGCTAAGAGGATGAAGGCCTTAGGAGCTTGGTGGGGCAGGGAGAGGGTGTCCCAGCAGGTACAAGGAGTAAAACAGAGGCAAAGGGGGCTTTGTACGGCCACGTCCTTGCTGTCTTACAGGCCGGCTGCCAGCCCTCCTTCTGAAGCCATGCGCCACCACACGCTGCACAGCCACGGGGCTGCGCGTTGCTTACCTGAGGGCTCCTCTCGCGATGAAGCTGTCTCACTAGTCTCCTGATAACCTTCATTCTGCTCTACTTGGCTGTGTTGAGGCATGTTTTCTATAAAAAGGAGTCCCCAAGCATATCATTTAATTCACAGTAGAATGCAAACAAACAAACAAATGAACAAAAAGAACAAGAGAAACTACGTACAGTATCCAGTTTCATAATCATTAACTTCTACTAACTTTAAGGTTTTCAATCTAACAGGGAACCAGCGGTTTTCTACTTTAAAAACGAGCAACAGCAACAGTTATTGAAAGTCTTACAAACATACTCCTTAGCCTGGAAACTCTACTTTCAGGAATATATATTTTTTTTAAAAAATCAGAGTTGCGCACCAAGATTTATTATTTACAATTATGTTTACAATAGCAAAAATTAATAAATATCTTACATGTTTAATAAGTGAAAGTTAAACAAATTATAAACATGCAAGGGTTCACTACATTCCTTAGTAAAAACCACATTTTAAGACATGGGGAAAAAAAGACTATAAAGTACACGAATAATATGATTCTCATGCTGTAAAAAAGTAAGTGAGAAAGCAGAGGGGAAAGGGCCTGGAATAATCCTTTAAGAGCTGCAGATTCACCAAGTATTTAACTTTAGGCACCAGGAATCAAACTCACACCCTTGTGCCTGCCAGGCAGGCTGTACCACTGAGTCATATTCCAAGCTCTTATAAACCAAGTTTTAAAACTTGTAAATCTGTGCTGTTTCATGCACATTCATATTTCGGTCCCCTAAATGAACTATATCTATATATCTTTCTATATAGATACAGATGTAGACACAGACACAAACACAGATATGAATCTATTTATCTATCATTTTCTGCAGTTATAATCCCGTTCTGCTAGTATGCACCAAAAGAAGACCAGAGTCAAGTAAAAAACAGTAGTATAAGTCCCTTTTAAAAAGCTAAGGCATTTTACCAGTAACAAAACAAATACAACAGATGCAGAAACAGTAACTTTTCTGTTCCTCAGACACCTAAAGGTGATTTAAGAGCTGCATTTCAGATCTAGTGTTTTCAGGTAGACCAGTTTAGTTCGTTGGAAGCAGATATGCACATCAGTCCCATGCACAGGTTATATTTTTTCCTCACGTTCCCTATTCTCTATAAGATCTTACTGTGCTAAGCAGTTAACAACCTATAAGAAAATAATGTAGCTGACTGGGGATAAGAGATACTAACAGGTTAACTGTAATTTCTATGGATGAATTTTTTGAGAGATTTCTCTTTTTTTCTCTGGACTTTATGTATATGATCTATCTCAAGTATATATATATATATATATATATTTTTTTTTTTTTTTTTTTTTTGGTATCAAGGATCAAACTCATGACCTCGTGCTCACCAGGCAAGCGCTGGAGCCACTGAACTAATTCCCCGGTCCCTAAAATGAATATATATTTCTTTAAAACAACAACAAAAAAACCTTAAAAAATCAACCTCTTCAACCAAGTATGGTGGCATACACCTGTAATTCCAGCTACCTGCAAGGCTGAAGCAGGAGAAACATAAGTTCAAGGCCAGGCTGGGCATGGTGACACAAGCCTACAATCCCAGCACTTTGGAGGCTGAGGCAGGAGGATCATTCTGAGTTCAAGACCAGCCTGAGCTATAAAGTGAGCTCAAGGCCAGCCTGAACTGCACAGTGATAAGACAAAACAAAACAAAAGACAAAAACAAAAAAACCAAGTTCAAGGCCAACCTGGGCAATTCAGCAAGACCCTGTATGTATGGGTGTGTGTGGGGGGGGTAGGGGTGCAGCTCTCTGTGGCAGAACTAGGTTTAATCCCCAGTACAAACAACAGAACAAAACAAATAACAAAAAATCAACAAATTCAATTCCTTCTTTCAACAAGTATTTTCTAAGAGGGTGATTACTACCTACCAGATTTTCTACTGGGTAACATGGACAAAAAGATAAATGAGGTGTGACCTCCTTTTCTATTCTCTCTCTTTTTTTTTTTTTTTTTTTTCCTTTTCTATTCTTGTTGTTGTTCTTCTTCTTTCTCTTCTTCTTCTTCTTTTCTTTTTTTGACACAGGGTTCTCATCAAGTTGCCCAGGCTGGCCTTGAACCTACAACCTTCCTGCCTTAGCCTCCCAAGTAGCTAGAATTACAGGCATGTAGGCTGGGGATTTAGTTCAGTGGCATAAACGCCTTCCTTGCAAGTGTGCGGTCATGAGTTCAATCCCTGGTACCAATAAAAACGAAAAAGACAAAGAAAAGAAAACTGAGCTAGAATTACAGGCATGTGCTACCACACCCAGCAGTCTTCTTTCTTGCCTTGTAGTACTGGATTTTGAAGCCAGTGCTTCAGGCATGGTAGGCAATCACAGTCCTCCTGAGTTACATCCCCAGCGCAAATCCTCCTCGGAAACTTTAACCCCTGGGCACAGTACACCCGGCCTCTATTTTAGGGGTGGGGAGGAAATGAGTAAGACCATCAGGCTCACTGTGCCTCGGCTTACACAGGGTCAGCAGCTCGGGTTATTCCTTAGCAGCTATGGCTTCACATTCCACAGAATTCAATCTTCTATAATTCTAGAACAGACAGGAAATACTGCCTAAATTGCAGTGGAACAATGACTGGCAGTGAACAAGAAGACTAAAACAACCATTTTCTTACCACAGAGTCAGCTTTGCTTTTTAATCCATCCATGATCAGCCCAGCTGCCACACAGCACAGCACAGTGCAGGGAGGAGAAGAAAGACCTTACCGTGGCCCTCTGCTTCCGTGGAGCACGGGAGGCCTGCGGGAGCTCTCGGTTCCTGCGCTGCTGCTTCTGCCTCTGTCTCTGGCAGCAGCCCCCCACTTCCATCCTCCATTTTATTTTCATGCTCTTCTTTTTCTTCTTCCTCATCCTCCTCTTCCTCCTCTTCTACTTCAGGCTCATCCTTCATTCTCATTAGAGCTGGAGGGAGTTCTGGCCGCTTGGGAGGCAACTTCTGTTGAGGGAAACAAAACCACAAACAAGTAGTTTCACGCAGTGATAAAAAGAGACAAATCTCCCTACAAAGTTAATGTAAGTAAGTGGAATATATGACCTGTCTACACTGATAAGCTTGCAGGAAATTTTGTACATCTATAGACATTTAACAAGTATCTTTATTATTAACTTATAGAGTTAAAAATATTTGGACTGGGGTATAACTCAGTTTTGGAGTGCTTGTTTAAGATGTGCAAGTATCTGGGTTGGATCCCAGAGATCGTGGCTGGGAGGAAGGACAAAATATTATTAAATATGAAACAGTTGAAACAGCTTTTACGGAATTAAAACATTTTCTCCAGGTGAGTGACAGTTCCAACAATTCTGTCCTTCTATATATCTTGAATTTAAAGCCCCTAAATTTATTATAAACTCTTTTAGGCAGTAAAAATGATACACACTCCCAAGAAAAAACTAAATTTGTATAGTTTTAAGTTCATTTCAGGTAATTTCAAGGAAATGTAACACAGAAAAATCAGTAAAACTAATCCTGAATGTTATATACTAACAAAAAGAGCTTCATTATGTTTGTGTTATGTTTGCCAATGCCCAAGTTATATGACCAAATTACCAGTTAATTCCCTTTGCAAAATGCAACTATTTTCTACAACCTGTAACGCTGTCATACTGTTCTATATGCGCCATCTTCCTGGGTGACCTGATTAATGTGTTAACCCTTGCTACCCTCTGCAAAGGACAGGTATTATCTAAAATTAAGTGCTAAAATTAGTTGACAAAAGATTGTAAATTCCTGCACCTCTCTGTCCTCTGCAAAGGGAAACAAAGGTTTTCCTCATTCCTTAGCAGATCAAGGATTTCCCCATTTCCTGATACACGCCCACAAGCCATTCACTTGTAAATTGCTCTTTCTAAAAAAGTCTGTGAAAGTTTTAAGCGAGTTACACAGCTTTGCGAACTACAACTGCACTGTGTCCCTGGTACCAGGTAAAATAAATCAGCGCTGCTTTTTCTTCAACAACATGTCTTGCCCCATTTTTGGACACCATGTTGAGGGGCTCGTTTTTGGGCTACAAGACTGCAGAAAAGGAAAACATTTCTCAGTAAGTAAGGCCAGTTGTTCTGAGTGCTTTTGTTTTTTGAGACAGAATCTTGTGTTATTCAGACTGCTTTCAAACTCCTGAGCTCCAGTGAAGTCCCCTGCCTCAGTCTTCCAAGCAGCCAGGTCTACAGGCATGTGCCACCCTACTTAGCAATGAAAGTACTCTAATCAACGCATGTCAATAGAAGTATCTGGATCTGGGTGTGGTGGCACATATCTAGAATCCCCACAACTAAAATTTGAGTTTGAGGCCAGCGTAGGCAACACAATGAGACCCTGCCCAAACAAACAAAAGCTATTTAGAAGAAAAATACAGGCTCTCCAGAAGTCAGAATTAATAAACCTAGAAAACAACAACTCAGTAAAGAGAAAAAAGTAGATCTCTGGGAATCAGGAGATAGCTGACAGGAAAACTAGAAATTACATAGAGATTTCAAAATCAGAGCACAACTCTGAGAAAATAAAGCAGTCTAGAAAGCTAACCCCATTCTCCTAAGATGAGGATCTGTCTCACCTACACAAAGTAAGCCTAGAGAGGGCTGGTAGCTCTAGGGAGCTGACCCTAGGAAAAGCCCACAGGTATTAGAAACTGCAAAACAACATTGGGGAAGGAGCCAAGGACTTAGCTCAGTGGCAATAAGCACCTTCCTGGCAAGCTTGAGGTTGTGAATTTGATCCCCATACAGAAAAAAAAAAAAAAAAAGAAAAAAGAAAAAAAAACCAACATGGGGTTTTTACTTTGAAAATGACTTCTTCAGCGTGGCAGGCTAGAGTTGGAGCAACTCTGTGTAATGCTCGCCACATTTGAGAGGGTTTATAATCAGAAGTCTTTTGGGGAAAGGGTTAAATTGTGGGGAGGGAGGACTTCCAGGAGAACATGGCAGATAGATAACAGTAGCTACGGAGGCTCTCTGAGATAGCCAGCTTAGATCCCAGGAATGGTACGGTGTGGGGAGTCCTAAGCAGGGAGAGATATACCCTGCCGACCCAGGAACGAACTAAGCTGAGAGAAACCAACTAGAAATGCAATCCCAGTGCTATAACTGAAATAGCTAAAGTCTCAGTGCTGAAACTGGAACCCACACCTCTGGAAACCGCGGCTTGAATTTCCTGCCACGGCTGCTGCATCTGAATCAGTACAGCAGGGATAGAGACGCAAAAGCTCTGAGAGCGGAAATCGGCAAACTGAATTGAGAGCAGAGCTGGTGGGGAGCCCTGCATCGACCCACAGTGAGTAAGAGGAACGGGAACCCTTCCATAGACTATGAGGCTCCAACAGAGGACATTCTGGGACTGGGCAGACTAGCCAGAACAGGACGCTGCAGTGACTTCAGTCACTTATTCCCCTCTCAAGCGGGATTGGTGGGGAGCGCTTGACCTTGGTGATGCCATGGACTAAGACCCAGTAGGCTAGCCCAAACCAGGTCCCTGCGCCTGGCAGTGCACCCTAATGCAGTGAAGCCTTCAGCAGGTTGACTGACTAGAGGGGTGGGCCCAGCACAGGCTGCCCAGGTCTGTGTCTCCCTAGTACACTGCAGTGGGCGGGAACACCTAGCTGGCGTGATTCAAAAAAACTGTAACCAACAATGAAAGAAATGGACCTCCTATTTACGCTTGTATGGAAGGAACAAAAAGTATGGGAAGAGGGAGCAACAAGAAAGAGTCCAATCCTGAGAGCACTGATCCAGGAAAGGTAAATGCAAAGGAGAAGGAGGACAGAAAACATGCAATATCAGGCAAAGCACCAACAGACATAAAGCAATATCTCCGGGACCTGATAGATGAGTTCAAAAGTGAAGTATTTAACCAAGTAAAACAAGATATAAGTAGAATAGTTAAAGAAATGCTAAGCACCTCCCAAGAAAAAACAGATGATGGAATGGGAGAACAGAAAAAAAGGGGGGAATTGTTTGATGGAGAAAATAGAGAAAACGTAGAATACATGGAGCAGGTTCAAAGAGATTACCAGGAAACTAAAAACTCTATTGAAAGCTGGCATAACAGCTTGAAAGAAACTAAGGATAGACTATCTGAACTGGAGGACAGATTTGTAATATAGGAGCATGAAAGGAAAGACTTCTTAAAAATAACAAAGAAACAAGCAGTAACAATACAAAGGCTAGATGATGATAAAAGGATGTATAACTGAAGAATTAGGAATGTAAAGGAAGAAGCAGGGATACAAACAAATGAACTGCAAAGGCTATTCATAGAAATAATCAAGAACTTCCCTAACATGGGAAAAGGTAAAAATACTCAGATCTATGAGGCATACAGAACTCCAGCTACCTACAACCTAAACAGAACTATACCCAGGCATATAATAATCAAAATTCTAGAAATCCAATATAAGAATAGAATATTAAAAGCCATCAGAGACAAGAAACAGATCACTTACAAGGGAACACCCATCAGAATTACAGCAGACTTCTCAGCACAAACCATCAAATCATGAAGAGCATGGGGTGAAATAATTCAAGCTTTGAAAGACAAAAACCTCCAGCCAAGATTGATATATCCTACACAACTGTCCCTAGAAATTAATGGAGAAACAAGGTGCTTCCAGGATAAAGAGGAGCTAAGGAAATTTGCAACCACCAATTCAACTCTACAGAGAATACTGCAGGACATTCTGAAAGAGAAAAATATCAAGATTCTAGAAACAGTGGCAGAGAGGCCATAATAAATGGAGCAGAAAGCAAAATAAAAACAAACTGACAATTAATGACAGAAAAAGAGCTCAACAGAAATGAGGAGAGAAGGTTGGATGGTAGGAACAGCTATTTTGGAGAAAACAAGACATCATGATAGCTAGTGCTGATTTAATATCATCTTGTTTTGAAGTCCCATCAAGCTTTCGTTCTTCTGTCTCTATTGGTCTTAATAGGTTGTATCCTACTGGATTTTATTAAATGTGATAATATAAACAAAAACTTTTATAGAGAAGGAGCTAATACAGAAACCATTGTTCATTTTCTGTTAGTTGGTTCTAAATACCCTGTAATACTGTCATTCTCTTGAATGGTTTTACATTGTCTCGATATATTTGATGCTACAGTATACAAAATTATACTCAAAGATTTCAAGGAAAGAGACACTATGGTAACTACTTTTATGTAGGGATATCTTGTGGTTAAACACTATTTTGCTTAAATGGTCATGTTCTGATCTGTGCTGTTTTGTTGTTATGTCCTCTTTTATCTCAATCTCCTATTTTTATTATTTATTTTTATCTTTTTAATTAAGGGAAAAAAAAGCAGGCTATATTATAGTAACCCACTTTGATTTCCTATTAACTTGATTTGAAACCCTGTATTGCTCTCACTATCTGTTTTGACTGATTTTACTCTATTCTGTTTTGCTTGATAGTACCAAGTTTGCAACTGTGAAGACAATAAGATTCACTATGATGCCCATTCTGGTTTGACTACCATCTTCTTTTGAAGTCCTGTAATGTCTCCAATGTTTTGGTTTTATTGGCTTTGTTCTTTACTGTTTTGTTCAATTTTATTATAACAGATGATATAGGCAATTCTTTCTAAGATAGCAAGAGGCATTATGGTAACCACTGTTGATCACCTTGTATTGTGTTTTTACATCATGTACTATGTCCATCCTTTTAATTTGACTGACTCTGTTTTGTTATGTCACATTTGGTTTTATTCTCTTCAAAAAAAAAAGTAATAAGAACTGTGAGAGTAATAAAACCCAAAATGTGTAACTGTCACTGTAAAAAAGAGGAAAAGAAAGTGCTCTAAAGGATATAACTGCATGTATATTTAAGTGTATAACATAGATAACCATATTACTGAGTTTTTGTTGGATCATTGAACAAAACTGTTTGCAGTCTCACTGTTTGTATGTCCACTTTATATGCTTTAATTTAATAACATGAGCAA